GGTTATGACTAAATTCAAAATTTTTATTTTTCGATACGTTTCTCAATCGGCAAACAAACTTAAAAAGTATGTTTAGTGCCTTATCTGTAAAATAATGCCAAAATGATGAGATTATAGATGATACGCCAAAGAGAAAATGATGTCTGAAGTTCAGTAAGTTTTGCTTATATGGCTGTAAATATGGCGTCAATTTTAAAGCATCATTGATAGTTGTGTTTTAATTGACAATTTTTAACTATTATTTTGTGTTTCTCAACCGGCAGATGCATTTAAAAAGGTAGCTAACTCTATAAGCTGGAGAATAACGCTAAAACAAAGTAATTTGAGAGGAACGCCAAAAAGATTTTAGGTTTTGAACACTTTTCATTACACTTTTCATTGAAAAAAATTGCCTCTTAAATAGTAAAATATCAAATAGGGGCCGGTTGAGAAAGAGTTAAGCGGGTACATGAAGCCGTTTGTGTACTCGAATTGAGTGGGTAGATCACGCCATTTGGCATTTTGTACTTTTGAAAGTGATAGGCATTTTCATTGATGCGGGCGGGGGGTGACGGGAAGTAGGGTACCATACTGCTAATTTTCCTGAAAAATGTCAATAAAAACTGCCGAAACAACTGAAATACTTCAATAATTACAAGTACAAGCTATCCACTCCGTGTTTACTAGACTTGCTCTATCTTTCATTGTCATATCGATCCACTATAGTGTACATTACATGACGTAGCACAGAGAGGCGGAACGAGAAAGAGAGAAATCTCGGTTCAAAACTGAACCGAAAATGCAAGACTTCCTTTAATTGCTTGCTTTCTTTCAATTCCTTTCTGTATTATTTACTGAAATGGAACTGATTTTATTTACATTGTGCTAGATCAATGCATATAAACACTGACAGAAAACAATTAAAGCAAGTCTTGCATTTTCGGTTCAGTTTTGAACCGAGATTTTCCGAAGTTAACAAGTCTCTCTTTCTCGCTCCGCTCCTCCGTGCTACGTCATGTAATGTACACTATAGTGGATCGATACTATATGACAATGAAAGAGAGACTTGGAGCAAGTGTACGTGTTTACACGCCCGCGATGTTTATTTTTTCAGCATAATTGAAATTATTTTTTCAGCATATGATACCTTAATTCCCATCCCCCTCTGTACGCATAAACGAAAACCTGGAATTGCCAATTAAGCTATGGTTTGCGGGGAAATTGAATACTGAATTTAAGTCTATGCTGTGTGGGATAGTGTTATCGAAATCGTGTTAAAAATGCGTATACGAGCTAGCTTGAGTTTTCTACACAGCACAAAAAAATTATCATCATCCCTATAAATATTAACAATGGTGCAACCATAAAGCTAAGAATTCACTAGTTCTTTCATGATTTCCCGAGTGAATGTGCATTGTCTCCAGTCTTCCTCCACAATCCCGCCAATCTTGTTATAAAATGAAATGGCGATTTTATTCCAGCTTAAAACGTTACAACGTATTTTGGCCAGCCCATTATCGAGTGCAATCTTTAAGAGTTAAATCGTAACGTTAGTTAAGTAATGCATTAACCTAGCATATTCGGTTGGGAATATTGATTTTAACTATTTTGAAGAGACATATTTAAGTTTTCCTAAAAGGTATTTACATTCTAGTTATCTTCTAGGTTGGCATTTCAACAAGAGTTTGTGGCTATATACCTCCTATAAAATTTGTCAGCCATCTTTTTTGCAACAGCAATAACCTGGTCGAGGTACCGGATTGATTTCTAGTATTGCTTTCGATACAAATCAGACATTGTAGTACTTGGTTTATTATAATAATTTATTATGATTGTTTATTCCGTTTGATATAATAATACGTCAAATCAAACGTTTTATCCCCCAAAGAAAAAGATTCATGCTAATAGCTAGCTTAATAATGTAAAATTAAAATTTTACCTTTGAAAGACATTTTAAAAATTCTTGTCCAATTCCTTTACCTTTACATGAAAAAAGAAACACGCCATTAGAATATAATTATAAACTACCTGTAGTAGTAGTACACTCGCCAAGAAGTTACGATTATCAGGAAATATCATGCCGGCTGACCGTGGAATATCGAAAGCAAAACATGTACGAGTGAATTTCTCATTCATACTGTTAGAAAACTAGTAACTGTTATACTTCTCTATTACTACAGTATATATTGAAAATTGAGAAGTTAAAGTTTCTTAATCAAAACGTTACCCTAGGGCCGTTCGGGCTGGATTTTTGTGGCGGTGGAGTGTGGTGGTGGAGTGTGGCAGATAATTTTTGTAGCGGAGTGTGGCGGCGCAGTGTGGTGATACCGGTGGAGTGTGGCGGCGGAGTGAGGTGGTGTAGCTGAGTGTGGTGGCGAAGTGTGGTGGCGCAGTGTGGTGATGGAGTGTGGCCACACTCCACCATTACTACTTCTATAAACTGAGAGTAAATAATCGAAAATTCAACAAAAAACATTTGTTTCATAAACAAGGCTTTGATTAATATTTCAAATTTGTCACGTGATGAGGCTTTATACCTGATGAAACTCATCTCATTAGTATTCTTTATATAAAAGTCCATCCTAATTAGCATTCTTTATGTAAAGAATACTAATGAGACGGCATCTATTCTAGTCGTGCTTCAAAGCAATTCAAAACACTATGTCTTGTAGTCGTATTTTATCATATCTAAAATGCTCGTGCAACGCACTCGCATTTTAAATATGGCAAAACACTCCTACGCGTGCATTTAGTGAGACAATCAATTTGATAATATCACACCTCGTGAATCTGGTCTAATAAAGAGATCTTCAATCCAAAGAGACCTTCCTTTCCAAGTCGAATACGAATTGACATAAATGGCATATCCTACAATTACTCTTTCATCTATACATAGAAAAAATAGTATGAACATTTATGAATCCTTGAACATTTATGATACCTTATTAAATTTCTTTCTTTCCTGGTTCATTGGTTTTACTATTTAATTTTTTCACTGCATTTCATTTGTCCCTTTAACATTCTTTATTTACTTTTATTACTATATACCTGACAAAATTACTGCAATCTGACTGGTTAAAAGTGTAATTTTTCATTAATTGCACAATTAATGATTTGAAAAAACAAATGGCGGCTCACTTTGTAAATACAAATGAGTCTACAATTCACTTACTTAATAATAATAATAATAATAATAATAATAATAATAATAATAATAATAATAATAATAAAAATACACCAAAAAGCACTGAACTCTCTCGCTGAACTTTCAATATTTTGAACTTGAAAAATTGTTTGTTGACGAATCTAGAACTGCAATTCGTTTTGTATATCGCATCTTCGCTTGGACATTTCGAATAAATATTTGAACTTTATTATTATTATTATTATAACAGTATTTCAGTAGGAAGCTACACTCACAACAAGGTGATTTTCAGGCAGGTCCTACGATATCAATTAAAATACAAATGAAACTACATTATAATAGCATATATAAAAAAGTATGTTTAAAATTATATCAGCTAAAATCGTATATAGAGTTCTTAAAAGAAGTCAAATTGTTCGATTGTCTTTGGTCTAAGTTAATATAGAGTTATTATATAGAGTTCTTAAAAGAAGTCAAATTGTTCGATTGTCTTTGGTCTAAATTAAGGTTATTCCAATCAACGACTGCTTGGTATATATAGCGTTGTTTTCCCCAGTTAGTACGCGAGCGTGGAAGATGTAAATCCTGACGGCGGCGTGTGTTGTGGGAGTGAATTTCAACGTTTTGAACTAGGTTGAATTGATATTTTATATACTTATTTATACATTTATAAATACCAATACAACGGTGTTGGCGTCGACGTTCTGATAGAGGCATCCAGTTTAGCTGTGCGAGGGCTTCGGTACCGGAAAAGTATTTGGGATAATCCAGTATAGTTCTTGCTGCGTTATTTTGCAGAACCTGGAGATTATGCATTAGGACTTTATTGTTCTTGTCCCCCCACACAATATCTGCATAATCAAATAACGGTAAAATGAGACTGTTATATATCGCCAAACGACCATGTAGAGGCAGCAAATACTTAACACGACGCAGAACTCCAAGTCGTTGGCTGACTTTTTTGCTAAGGGCATCAATCTGGTCCGACCAAGACATATTTTGATTAAGTTTAATGCCAAGGTATTTGAAGGTGTCTCTACGTTCCAAGTTATGTGCGTTGATCTCTAATGAAAACTCACGGAATGAATTGAGTTTACGCGTGCTGCCGAAGATTACAAATTTGCTTTTCTCAGCGTTCAAAGTTAAAAGATTGTCATTTAAATATCTGCGAAGGATTTCAAGGTCAGCATTCAAATTTTCCTCAAGTTCCGACAACGTAGAGGAAGAGAAATAAAGAACCGTGTCATCTGCATACATAGTCACTTTACACTTCTTAATACAAGACGGCAAGTCGTTCACGTAAAGGATAAATAGGAGTGGTACAAGGACACTCCCTTGTGGAACTCCAACTGAGACATACTTTGCAGAAGAGGTAGCATTATCCACTCTTGTTACCTGTATTCTCTGATATAGGTATGATTTGAACCATGTTATAGTGGCATCAGTAAATCCAGCCTTCGATAATTTTGAAAATAGTATAGAATGGTTCACCGTGTCAAAGGCCTTTGATAGGTCCAAAAAGACTGCTCCAGTGACAGCGCCTTTGTCCATATTATCAAGAATCGAGTCAGTAAAATGTATCAAAGCGACTTCGGTTGATAGATTTGGTCTGAAACCAAATTGCACTGGCGATAGAATCTTTTCATCCACAAGGTATTTGTAAACTTGGTGATGTGCAACCTTCTCTAAGACTTTGCTGACCGTGGGTAGAATAGTGATCGGTCTATAATTTCCAGAATCGCATCTGTCTCCAGATTTAAATAGAGCAGTGACTTTACCAAATTTCCAGATCGACGGGAATTTCGACGACTCCAATGACCTATTGAACAACTTTGTTAAAACTGGTGCTATTAATGAGGCAGAGTCCTTTAGAAGACGCGCGCTAATCTTGTCAAGTCCTATGGCTTTGTTGGTCTTTAGCCGGTTTAATTCTGTACGGACAAACGCTTCTTCTACAGGTTGGAAGTTGAAACCACTAACAGGATTAGCATCAACAGTCAAAGAAGGGTTTTTCCAGATGTAATTTAGACCAGGAGTTATCTTAGCAGCGAGTTTCGATCCAATAGAAGAAAAATAATCATTCAGGACTTCAGCAATGGATTGTGAGTCCGTGTAGGTTACGCCGTCCGCTTCAATACAAGTGACTGGCGATGTGGATTTACGTGATGTAATTTCATTGAGTATTTTCCATAGTCCACTAGAATTGCTTTTGTTTTTGTTAATTAATTCGAGATAATAATCGGCTTTACTCTTCTTAACTTGTTTGGTAACAAGGCATTTTAATTTTTTGTACATGTTCCAGTGAAATTCAGAGTTACTTTTAATAGCCTTTCTATGATGGTAATCACGATCTCGCATCGCGTCTTTAAGTTTAGCCGTCAACCAGGGTGTTTTGGTTCCTTTGATGCGGCTCCTTTTAATAGGTGCATGTTTATCAGCAACATCAGAAAAGAGTGTATTCCATGTTTCGACAGCAGCATCTAGATCTTGAGTTTCGTCTATTATATCCCAGTCAATTGACTTAAGATCTTGAATAAAAGAGTTCTTGTCAAATGTGCGGTAAGAGCGATATTCAATTGTTTTTGGAGGAGCTTTGGGAACACCAGATTTTATAGTGCAATAAACAATAGAGTGGTCGCTAATTGCCGAGTGAATGACTCCGCTTTCAACAACACGACGACTATTATTGACAAAAACTAAATCAATCAGAGTTCTCGTCTGGTTACAAATTCTAGTGGGAGTTTTGATCAATTGTTCAAAATCATTCAGGTTTGCAAATCTTTGTAACTTCTGCTTCGCTTTATACGCGGCAGTATTCTTCTCGGCTGAGAAATCGGCATTAAAATCTCCCAGAATTATACCTTCAGTTTCAGCAGGCAATTTTGAA